GGAGCCCAGAATTGCTCAGGAGTTTGCAGGCAGTGGAAAAAAGGGTGGTTTAAATATCAGACAGGCAGCTGGTTGGCTCTATGGCTCCACAGAGTCACTACTGTCCCAGACTCCTCCTGTCTTTCTGCTCCAACCAGCTTCAGTGTGTGGCTTCCATCCTCAAGGTCACAATGTCATGACTGCTGCTGCAGGACCAGCCATCATGTTGATATTCCATACAGGAGGGATGAGGAGGGAGGAGGGGCGAAAGGGCATTGCCAGCACAGTCAGCTACTTAAAACAAAGCAAAACAAAACAAACACCAAAAACTTTCCTAGAATTTGAGCCCAGTGGACTTTCATTTATACCTGGTCCTCCATAACAATGTCACATGCCACCCAGAGTTTTAAGGGAAGCAGGGAGGTACAATTTAACTGGACACATTCCCACCCTGAATAAAACCAGTTTTCTGTTAGGAAGGAAGAGAGAGAGAGGGAGGGAGGGAGAGAGAGAGAGAGATTGGAAGGATGTTGGGTGGGCAAGTCTCCCTCTTTACCTCAGCCCTCAACATCCTTCCTAGGACTCATTTTTGTTCAGATTCATTTGCGTTACTTTCTGTGACCTTCAACTAAAGAAAACTGACATCGTAACTTATTTTTTTCTTTTTATAAAAACAGTGCATTCAGATTTACTGTGGGGATACAGGGAAAATACAGGAAAGACAAAAAAGATCAAATACCTGTAATACCTGTAATACCACTACCCAGAGGTATCATTGATAATATATTCATAACAATAAATACCGACTCATGGTTTCTAGCTTTTAAAAAATAAACAGGATCTTAAAAGGATGCAGCCTTCCATGACACATTTGATCCCTCATTTGGCTTCACCCTGGGGTCTGTGCGCTGCAGACAGGCCCATTACGGGGGGGCTGGCCACACTGGTTGTTCATGGCTGGGCTCTGTTCCGACTGGTTAGTGCTCAGGCAGTAGTGGCTGCTCAATGTTTTTTGTAAATAAATGATCTGTTTTTTTTTTTTTTTAAAGATTTCATTTGTTTATTCATGAGAGACCCAGAGAGAGGCAGAGACACGGGCAGAGGGAGAAGCAGGCTCCTCATGGGGAGCCCGATGCAGCACTCGATCCCAGCTCTCCAGGATCACACCCTGAGCTGAAGGCAGACGCTCAACCACTAAGCCACCCAAGTGCCTCAATAAATGATCTGTTTTAAAAACACTTTTTATTTCGAACAAACTGTAGATTCTCAAGAAATTGCAAAAAAATATATGCAGGGAGGTCCCATGTACTACATCTGGTTTTCCCCAGTGGTAGCATGGATAATTATAGTACAACAGTGTACCCAGGAAATTGATATTTCTTGTACAAGCTGTAGAACTCACTCAGTTTCACCACTTACATGTGGTGTGTGTGTGCAGTTTTATGTAATTTTATCTCATGTGTAGATCTGGGTAACCATCACCACAATCAAGACACAGAACTGCTCCGCCACCACAAAGATCCCCCTCATGCTGCTCCTTTATGGTGTCACACCACCCACCTCTATTCCTTCTCCTAGAAACCACTCATCTGTTGTCCCTCCCTATTATTTGATCATTTAAAGAATGTTATATAAATAGAATCCTAGAGCATGTAACCTTTGGAGATTGGGTTTTTTTTTTCCCCACTCAGCATAATTCCCTTGAGATTCATAAAAGTTATTATGTGTATCAATGGTTTGTTCCTTTTTATTGCTAAGTAGCATTCGTGGTGGATATAATGGTTTCCTTGAAGGGTACTGGGTTGCTTCCAGTTTGGGGCCATTATGAATAAAGCTGCTATGAACAATTTGCATGGATTTTTGTGTACATGTAAGTTTTCATTTCTGGGTAGATGCCCAAGAGTGTGATTTCTGGGTTGTATGGTAAGTGCATGTTTAGTTTTGTAAGAAATCGTCAAATAATTTTCCAGAGTGGCTGGCCTGCTTTACGTTTCTGTCAGCAATGTATGCAGGATCCAGTTACTCCATGTCCTCACCAGCTTTGGGGGGCGTCCCTGTGTTTTATTTTAGCCACTCTGGTAGGTGTGTAGTGATATTTCATGGTGGTTTTAATTTGCATTTCTCCAGTGGCTAATATTGACAAACCCTTCTCATGTGTTTGTTTGCCATCTGTTTTATCTTTTTCAGTGTAATGTCTTTTTGTTTCTTTGGCCCATTTTCCAATTCAATTTTTTTTCTTACAATGGATTTTTGAGCGTTCTTTTTAAATATAATCGAAATACAAGTTCTTTGCTAAATAAGTGGTTTGCAAATATTCTAAGTCTGTAACTTGTTTTTTACCTCCTTAACAAGGTCTTTTTTTTTCCTGTTGAGATATAATTGACATAAATTCACCCTTCTAAAGTACGCGATCCACTGGTTTTTGGTGTATTCACAAGGCTGTATAACTGTTCCCACTATTAAATTCCTGAGCACTTCCATCACACCAAAAATAAACTCCAGACCTGCTAGTTGTCCCTCCTCATTCTTTCCATCCCTCCAGTCCCTGAATCTACTCTGCCTTTCCGGATTCGCCTTTTCTGCATATTTCACATAAATGGAATCACACACCATGGGACCTTCTATGTTCACCCTCTTTCCCTCAGTATCATGTTTCCAGACTTTGCATGTCGTAGCAGGTGTTGGTGTTTTAGGCTCTTTTAGGACTGAAGAGTATTCCCTTGTACGGATAGAACATTGTTATGAGTTGAATTGTGTCCTTCCAGGAGGAGATGTTGAAATCCTAACCCTCCGTACCTCAGAATGTGGCCTTATTTGGAAATGGGGTGGTTTGCAGATGCAACTAGTTGAATACAGTCATACTGGGGATTGAGCCCTTAATGACTGGTGTCCTGATAAGATACGCAGAGAGAAGCCGGCCATGTGATAGCAGAGACAGAAACTGTAGTGACGCAGCCCCAAGCCAAGAAATGCCGAGCATGGCAGGCCACCAGCAAGGGCTGGGAGAGGCAAGGAAGCTTCCCTGCTCCAGCGCCCGGAGGAGCATCTGGTCTCCGGAGTGTGAGCAGTACATTTCCATGGGTTGAGGTCGACTGTTTGCGGGGATTTGTTTCGGCAGCCCCGGGAAGCTCACACACATACTCATTATTTGAGGGGCATTTGGACTGTTTCTACCCATTGGCTGTTAGGAATCATGCTGCTGCGAACGTTCATGGGGAGGTCTCCATGTGGCCATATGCTTTCGCTTCGCTTGGCTCTGTACTTAGGAGGGGAATTGCTGAGTCATATGGCAACTCTGCGTTTAACTTTGTGTGTGTGGCAAAACACACAGAACATGAAATCTGTCGTTTGAACCATTTTAAAGCTCACAATTCGGTGCGCTAAGTAATTTGCAAATTGTGCAGCCATCACCATGATGTAGTTCCAGAACATTGGCCCCAAGCTGAAACCCCGTACCCACTCCTCGTTCACATTCCCCCAACCCCTGCAAATCACTAACCCGCTTTCTGTCCCTATGGATTTGTGATCCCAAGTATTTAAGTGGAATTCCACTGTATATGTCCTTCGTGTTTGGCTTCTTTCATTTACGTTTTGCAGCTCAACCACATTCTGGCATGAAGCAGTAAGCACTTTGTTCCTTTTAGGAATAATATTTTACTCTATGGATAGACTACATTTTGTTTATCTGTTCATCAGTTGATGGACACTGGGCTGTTTCCACCTTCTGGATCTTGTGAATCATGCTGTTATTGAACATTCACGCACAAGTCTTGGTTTGAATGCCTGTTCTCAACTCTTTTGGTTACTTACCTGGGAGTGGAATTGCTGGGTCAGTCTATGCAAAGGCGTCTGTAACCTGGAAGAGGGTCCTCGCCAGAACCCAACCACGCTGGCAGCCTGATCCTGGACTTGCAGTTTTCAGAAGGGTGGGAAATAAGTTTCCGTTGTTTTATAAGGCACCCTGTCTGTGGGACTTTGTTGTAGCAGCCTGAACTAAGACAGTTTTACTTCTTCTTGGACTCAATTGGGCTTCCTTGCTCAGCAGTGTCTGTGAGACTCACACATGTTGTTGGGGAGGTAGGTTGTTCCTTCTCACTGCTGTATCAGGTTCCATCACCAGAATACACCACATGCTAAAACCCATTCATTGTTGAGGGACGTTTGGGTTGTGTCCAGCTTTTGCCTGTCATAAATAAGGCTGCAGTGGATATTTTTGAAACATGCCTTTGGGTGCATCCAGGCCCTTATTTCTCTTGGGAGTAGGCGAGCTTACTAGGACATGGGGTATGTGGAGAGTTAGCTCTAGCAGGTGCATTTCTGAAGTAGTTGTACCATGTCGTGCTCTCATGGAATGGGAGACTCTACTTTTGCTCAACCTATTACAGAATTGTACTTTTTCTTTGCATTTCTTTGATGTGTAATAATGTGGAACACCTCATAGGCCAGATTCCCACTTAATATTATCTATGAATAATACTATAAATAATCCTGAAAGGTTGGCATTCTTGTGTCCATTGGACAGATGGGGACATCTGGATGGCAGAGAGAGCTGGTGGCTTGTCCGAAGAAGAGCAGCTGGTAAATGGTGGATCCCGAGTCTGTTCAGATGACCCAGTGTGCACTCTTACTCGCGGGACTACAGACAAGCCTTGTTCTAGGAGAGGATCCAAGTCTTTTCCCTCTGAAACTGGAGGAAGACTGCTAGAACCCAGTGTAGCACTTTATTTTTTCAGATTAGCACTTTAATGACAAAAGCTCGGCAACACATGGGTTAAGAAGGCTGTTTGGGGAATAGGCTTTGTCAGTTATGGTGCGCTACTCGATGTTAGTGGTTGCTGTTACTTTTACGGGAAAGCATGTTCCAAGTTCCAAGCCAGGGACTGGGCCCTGGTGCACAGCCCGTGGGAGCACGTCTGTGTACCCAAAGAAAACATTACAACTTGAGTAATAGCAAGTCCTGGAAATGATGACAGCTGCTTGCAAGCTTGTTGCAAGCCACTTGCTGGCCTTTGCAGAAACCTGATATACAGGCATGTGTGTGGGAGGCAGGAGTCCCAGCCACAGCCATCTCAGATTTCGAAATCTCCAAGATGCTAGAATCCACATCCCCCGCTCTTCCAGGTCAGGCTCCAGGAGCAAACACTCGGATGGAGATTGTCATGCAAGTCGTCTGTTAAGGTCTGGTCTCAGGGTGGAAGGTGTAAGGGGGGCAGGAGGCAAAGAAGCCAAGTGGGGTCAGGGTTTTTTGGCAGAGTGTTCCAGAGGGTCTGTCCAGGTCAGGCAAAGGGACTGGGCTTTCATATTCAACGGCCTGTGTGTCACTGACCAAGGGCTCACCGGGGATGAATCCTCCAGGCACCTTTCAATTTCCGAATGTGTAGGCAAAGCAGCTGTGAAGGTACAGGCCATTAGAAGCAAAGCATCCTGAAGCCAAGAGAGGCCAAAAAAGAATTGTGAGACTTTGGGGGAGCTCAGCGCATGCTATCATCCTACTGGGACATGGGGGACATGGAGCCCAGACTTTGTCCTCATGGTGTTTCCTGCCGGAGCATCTCCCTTTTGGAACTGGGGGGATGGGTGGCTGCCCATCTTGCTCACAGATCACAAACCACAAATCAACTTCATCAAACTCCAAGGGTGTGATAAATTGTTAAATGTGTACCGATAACTTGTAACATTTGCATTTCCTCCTGGAAACAAGAGGCCAGCAGTGCTTTCCCGTGACAAATGCCAGAAGCCATGGCAGCCAGAAGCAAGGACTCCTGGACACAGATATGGGAAGTCAGCCTGTTGACACAGCCAATCCAGGGAAGCTGGCTTTCCTCTGCAATGACAGCATGTACTATGATTCCCGGCAGTTTGGGAAAGAACATTCCTTCCGGAGACCATTTGATGGTGGTCTGCTGGTTTTCTCTCCCTTTCTCTTGTGAAGCCCTTCCCTGCCCGTTGCGCATATGGGATTGTCTGCCGTGGTGTTGTTTATTAGACTACAGCTTGCTTATAGAAAAGAGCAAAAAGTATGAGTGTGTACGGATGGACAGATTTCCCCAGATGAGCCCGTCCATGTGACCACCACCCAACTCAAAAAATCAGAACCTCCCAGCACATTGGGAGATTCCTTGTGTGCCCTCCCCCTGCCACAGGGAAAGTGCTATCCTGACTTCTGATGCCAGAAGTGAGCTTTGTCTGCCGTTTACATTTTATACAAGTGAAATCACACAGGATGTGTGTTGTGGCTGGATTCCTTTACTCAGCGTGAACTTTATGAGATTTGTCTGTATTATGGTTTGTAAGAGTGGTTTGTTCTTTTGCATTGTTGCCTATGTTGCTGCAACTTACTGATCCTTCTGGTGGTGGACGGGCATCAGAGCTCTTTCTGGTTTGGGCTATTAGAAACCGTGAGCATGAGCATGTTCTAGAACGTGTTTTTGGGTGCACGTAGGTATGCGTGCTGTTGGGGATACACCTGGTGGAACTGCGGGCTCACAGGTATTTGCATGTTCAGCTTGATTAGGTGCTGCCAGTTTGCAAAGTGGGGGTGTAATGATTTATACCGTCAGGACAGTACAGCAGTTCTGGGGCCTCCAGAATCTCACCAATGTTTGGTATTTGGAATTTTCATTTTACAACCCCGTCAGAATGGATGGGATCATACACTTCAATATTCTCCACCCTCAGGACTGCGACTGGTTCTTACAAATTCTTTGTGGGAATTAGAAAAAGGATACCCCTGCCTTAAGATACTTGCCCCTCTCTGAGGGGCACCCGGGTGGCTCAGTGGTTGAGCAGCTGCCTTTGGCTCAGATCATGATCCCGGGGTCCTGGGATCAAGTCCTGCATCAGGCTTCCTGCGAAGAGCCTGCTTCTCCCTCTGCCTATGTCTCTACCTCTCTATCTCTCTCATGAATAAATGAATGAATGAATGAATGAATGAATGAATAAATAAATCTTAAAACACAAAGACACTTGCTTCTTATGAAAATGTGATAAAAGCTGATTTTGTTAGAGCATGACATGTGACTGCCCTCTGCTGGAAAACTGTTGAAATTCACAGTATGGACCTTGGATGCCTGAGATGGAACCCGTAGTCTCTTAGGTGTGGTATCCTTGGGCAGTGCACACCCTGGACAACCACACATGGTGATCATGCCATTCTTCACATTGGTTCACACACGCTGGAGGTGATGATGAAGTGGAGGCGGCCCAATGAAAGCTCACAAAATGATGGTCCGTGGCTGACTCTTGTCTGCAGTTTTATTTGACTTACACAGGGGAAAAAAAATCAAGCTAATATTTTAAAATTTGGCAGATTTTGTAAAAAAAAAAACCTGGAAAAATCCAAGAAAGTAGAGAAATTGGGCCCTTACTCCCAAGTTATAACACAGAGGCTCCTCTGTATGTGTCTCCCTCCAATTACTTCAATCTCCACCATGCCCTACTGTTCTCCACCATGCCCTACTGTCCCCTAAGCCCAAAGCCTCTGTCAATGGCTGTAGCAAAATGGAACTATCATGCTAATGCTAGCACCAGATTCCTTCCCTGAGTTTTCACTTATTTATGGGAACTGCTGCTAAATACATATAAATTTGTGATCACTAGTCTTGACACTGATATGGAAAAAAACCAAAAATCCATCCCAAGCTGATCATCAGATTGTGAGATAAAATAACTCCTATTTTCTTTGTGTAAAAATCCCATCGGACAAAGTTTCTATGGAATTATAGGGTCAAAAGGCTGGAGTTTCCTGGCAGGACCTGCCCAAAGGGGTTGGCGCCTCACACACTGGTGGCCAAGCACTGGTGAGGGTGGAAAAATATGATAGGAGGGCTGGGTGAGTGGGTGAGGGTGAGGGTGAGGGGGTTGCATCTAGAGCTTGCTCAGAGGGAACTGGTGTCCCAGGGATCAGGAGTGTGGTGGTGGTGGTGGTGCTGGTGGCAGCAGCCTAATCAGTTGTGGGACTGAGACAGAATCCAAAATGTTAGATCTTTCTGTTACGTTGTTTTAAGCTAGTCTCTTCATTAACTCAAGAATTTTTCTATCTATCTATCTATCTATCTATCTATCTATCTATCTATCATCTATCTATCTACTATCATCTATCTATTGGCATCTGGTGGCTAAATCAGTGAACTTTGAAGTAACTGTTTTGATCATTTTTGTTAAGTATGAAGATCATGACATTACATGTGTTTATTAAGCACTTACTACCTGCAGGCGCTGTGTCATCTGGATCAGCCCTCACAACAATGCTACCTGCCCTAGTGTGCACATTTTATAAAGCCTCGTTTCGTGGACCTGCATTACAGGTAAGCGGGCTGAAGCCTAAGGCCCAGGATCACACTCAGTGGTGGTGGGAGGCTGGCTCTGAACCCAGACCTTGCTGACTGCAGGGCTCCAGCTTCAGATGCCTCTGCTCTTCTGCTCAGATACTGTCTGACTAGAAGCAGACCTCGTAACTGGTGGCAGATAGAATCTAGGTTGGAAGCCGGTGCTTTGTAATAATTACAAATGTGTTGGTACGATACTGCTGCACTCTGGGAAATGTGGGTCTTTTTGATTTTGGGATGTCATGAACTTTGAGAGCCTACGGGCCAAAAAGCACCGATGTCCTACCTTATCTTCTTCTTACAGCGCCTCCCTAAGTGACCTGACACTTTGCACAAGGTCACACGGCCCGTCTGTGGCAGAACCGGAATTAGAAGCCTGGGTCCTGACTCATTGATTTTCTCCACCCGATATCAACCCTCAGAGTTTCCAAATCCGGCAGGCAGCAGAGCACGCTGCTCTTTAGAAAGATGAGCCAATTTACATTCTCGGCAGCAGGATGTGGGCTGCCCCCTCTCCTGGAGAGGCCTTTCTCAAATTGACAGATGTCAGCGGCCTTGATCCATGCGTGGCTTCTCCAAGCAGTCCTCCTGCTCGGGGACCTCGGCTCTTCTTTGATTCCAGCCATGGTACAGAGACAGCCCCTGCCGGCAGGCACTTGTGTTCCAGTAAGTTCTGTCTTGCCCTTGCTGCGAGGGCTCTGCTGGATAGCACGGTGGTAACCAGGCCTGCATTTTACCCTTGCAGGGGTGTGGTAAGGATCCCACGAGATATGGGCAGGGAAGTGTTTGGAAAAATAGTGCCATGCTGGGCAAACACAGAGCATTGTGATTGCAGTGGGTGGGAAAGCAGGCAGGAGGAGGAGGCAGATGGGAGGGTGTTGCGGTTTCTCCTCTGGAGTTGGGCCCAGAGCCTTCTCCCCGCTTCCCTCTGACATTGCAGGGCTTGCCAGGTTCTGTGCGAGCAAGTGGAGGGGGCTGCTGGAGCTCCCTGACACTGTGGCTCTGCGTGTTCAGCTGCACTAGAGCCTTCCATGTCAGACATCTGCCACTAGATTCAAGGAAAGCTTTTTTTAGGCTGTGAAGAGGTGATTATTTTGCATTATGTAAGAGTAGCCATCCAGGAGAATGAGAAATTTCCCTCTGAGAAGAAAATCAAGAGACGTTGCCTGAATCCTGTCAACTCTACAACTCACAGAGCGTTCTTCACCTTTATAGGGAAGGATGTTGGCGATGGGCGGGGGGGGGGGTTACATGTGAGGAGTCCTTCTCCAGGCAGAAGTCAAAATGGGTTGGACATGTTCACTCACTTACTTCCTCATTAAAAAATAATGTTTTGAATATATGCCTTGTCTTCTGCATGGACCCAGCCCTTGGGGGTCCAAAGTATAGTTAGAAATGGATACCCACGCGAGTGACACAGTACTGGAGGGGCACCCGACCCAGTCACAACAGCTAAGTCCCCGGGGAGACTGGAGCCTGGAATGCCTGGGTGGAGCAGAGCCCCCAGCCCATCAGGAACACTCTGGCCTTGGTTTGGCTCATGAATGAGAAGGACAGTCTTACTGCTTTAAGCCCCAGCACATTCGGGGTTGGTTTGTTACAGAAGCTAGCCCGGGTTTGATGAATTAGGTATTGGGAGCAAAAGGTGCAGGCAGGAAGAGAGGAGCAGAACTGACCCATGAAAGACACTCCTTCTTTGGGGTCTGTGCAGTGTAGCCCCAAACATGCAAACACACAGGAAACAACATACTGACCACTAGGGGGCGCCCTTGCATGCTATGCATCAAAGGTCTCAAACTGGAAGCTTTAGGTAAAAACAGAAAACACACACACACACACACACACACACACACACACACACACACCCCATCATGCAAACAATCATGCAAACAATTCCAGTTTTGCCTCGAATCTGCAAATTTTGTATTTTTCAAAGAAGTTAACACTCAGTGATGTGCTGCCCTAGAGCTTGAAAACAGATTATTTGGGGTTTGCATATGTTGACATACACCATGTTGTCTCTCCTATTTGCATAAATACATGATTTGTCAGCGGTTGCCTTCCATCTCCCGACAAAACTCTGAACGTGTCAAAGTGATCTTAGACACTGTACCATACACGTCCCATATAAACCACTTGTACTCAAATCAGCATGTCAGTGCTGCCTCTGGGAAAACCCAGACTAAGACAGCCCACTGTGCTCACCAATTACACAGGACACGGTGATAAGAAAACTCATGACATTGAGGGCTTATTTAGAATTGTGTTTCCAGGTCTGGGACTGTATGTCACCCATAGATCTTGAGAGTGCAGTGGACACTTGTGGTCTTATCTACTCAGGCTTCCGTTTTTGGATGGAAAAAAAGGCTGCCCCTTGTCCCCAGCCTGTGCCTTCAACATCCAACTAATGGTCACAATGGGAGCTGTCATGCTTGTTCAGCATCTGCTACTGACACAGTGCTTTGCTCTGGAGGTGATTTCTGACCGTGGCTGGTCCAACTAGAGATGCCAGGCTGGTTGGAGTTGAGCATGGCTCTCTGGACCCCAGGGAGAGAAGCCCTGTGTGCCTCTGGCAGAGGACATCTTCTCCCAGGTGACCAGGCATGTCAAGAAGGCCGACTGATGCCTGGATTCCTTCAAGTGTTCTGGTTCCTGGCTGTGGTCTGTTCTGGAGGCTACCCTCACCACTCCTGCATCCTTAGTATGCAAATCCTGTCTGCGGTTGGTTGTAACCCAGAGCCAAAGAAGTCCTACCTAACATGGAAATAGAAGCTCCCTGGAATCCAAAAAGGTTTGTCATCAAAGTGGGATCCAATTATGTTTATTAGCCGACACTTACCGAGTCTGGAGAGTAGAAAGCTTTACAACACCAAGAATCAGAGCAGAATGGCTTCAGCTCAACTCTGTCAACCAGAAACACAATTAATCAAAGCGGTGCATTTCCCAAGCTCCCTGTCAGCCTGATGCTTTACTGTATTGGGATATGATTTAAGAGGAAGCCGATGTTACAAAGCAGGGGGACTGGCATGTGTTAAATACGAAAGAACAAACAAGGGAGGGGATGGGTGGTCACTCTGATTGCTCCAGGCTACATGTAAGGTTCCAAGAGTGACACTGGATCTTCTACCACCAGATGGGGAGTCTAACATGGGACGTTTCCTCCCTGCTCCACATACAGCACAGCTTCCCAGAGAACAGGGCGGCACGGGGCACAGATTCGGTGTTGGGCCCACCTGGCACCTTGCAGACATCACCTTGGATCCTCATGGTCGTCTTCCTCCAAACAAACTAGGGAGCAGCTCATGAAGGAGGAATCACTCTCCTGAAATGCAAAAATATGGAGGCTTAAGTATTTGAAGTCTGAGTGAAGATGCTGGGCACATAGGCGGTGCTCAATAAATACGTATAAAATAAATGAATGAGTGAATGAAGTCTAGACTTCCAAAGCTGCCCGGATTCAAAGGGAGGGGACACATGTCCCATCACTCCACAGGAATGTCAAGTTAATATTTTTCAAAAGAGCAGGTGGGATGGAAGATATGGCTATGGTCACTTTTGGAAAACACAACCTGTCTTAAACCCGGAGGGAGATAGTGACACTAGGGAGTCAAAAGATTTGGAATCACCCTCTGCCAATCCCACGCAGGGCCTGTGCTTATGATCTATGTAAGAAAGATGCAGTAGAAGGGGCGTGTCTGTGGTCCAAACTCAGCTCATCCACTTACTCCCAGAGTGGCACTTGACCTGTGCCTCCCTGTGTCCATAACGGCAGGCATGTGTGATGAGAGGTGACCAGGATGCCTGTAAGGGTCACTGCTACTAGTTCCGGCTGGTCAAGGCTGTGGCGAGGCCCTTTGCACGTCTTAATCACTGTGTGTACGGTCTGTTTGTGACATGCCCTGCATTGTTAGGGAGACTGACACTCTCTGGCACCAACTTTGTCAGGATAAGACGCATTCTGTGGGAGAGTATTGCCCAAGCAGGACCATTTGGGAGAGTCCTATGACCCAGAGATCCTGTGTTTGTTGAGAGAATAGTTTGGAACCAGGGAACCCCAGAAACCAAAACTGGGAGGGCACCCACTAGGGGTAGGTCTGGGTTTGGGACTTGCCCTGGGTCTATGCTGTGTCCTTACAAAGTTAGAGTCAGGGGATTTAGCCTCTGACTCAGAGAAATTCCACGATTTTCTCTGGGTGTGCACTCTGTGTGTTCACGTTTCCATTTATTTTTTTTTCTTTTTTTAAATTTTTTTATTTTATGATAGTCACAGAGAGAGAGAGAGAGGCAGAGACATAGGCAGAGGGAGAAGCAGCCTCCATGCACTGGGAGCCCGACGCGGGACTCGATCCCGGGTCTCCAGGATCGCGCCCCGGGCCAAAGGCAGGCGCCAAACCGCTGCGCCACCCAGGGATCCCCACGTTTCCATTTATGATCACTCTCCCACCACAACCTCTAGGATGAGTCTCTCTGTCAGGGCCAGGATGGTGTAGATTTTGTGTTCCGCCTTGGAAAGTGCGGTTGGACTGACTCTAGATTGCCCCAGGCACGGAGGGAGTGAAGGAGGGGGCAGTGCGGTGGGGGGCCCACCCCATTGTTGGGACATGAAGATCTGGACTGACCTGTGGCCAACACTCGGGCCATCTTCTGAGAGCAGCACACTGCGCACATTTTGTGCCTGTGTATTTCCATCTGAAGGATCTCTTTTCCTTCCCTAACTACCTCACAGGGGTATAATATGCCTGCAAAGTACTTTTTCGTTCATCAGACAAAAAGAAAAAAAAAAGCAGTACCGAAATAGAAGATATTATTAATACTGCACGATTGTAAAAATGGTGATCAGGGAATTGAGAATTAAGGCATTATGGGACAGCGACAGCAGTGAATATTTTAGAAATAAAACATACATGATAAAAGAATTATCAGAGCTGCTAATTATAGAACAGGGACTATTAAGGGAACAGAGGAAAGTCTGCACTGGGGGAAAACGGGAAGAAAATCAGTGAACGGGGAAAGTGGAAACTGGAGCGGGAGAGAAATATTTATGTGCATCGTCTTTTCTGTTAGTGCCATCTGAGATGTGACAAGTGGAAGGGAAGGCAGTCGCTTGCAGAGGGAAGGGATCTTTGTTGAGCAAGAATGATTTATTGCCTATGTTTACAATGAAGTCAGTTTCATAGTGAAATCTGCGCTTGTTAGCACGCAGTTCTATGAATTTTGACAAATAGATATTGTCATGGCCCCTCCCCCGCAATGAAGATCTAGAACATTCTAGCATCCCCCAAAGCTCCATCTCCACTTCCTCCTTTTTACCGACTCCTCCATCTACCATGATCTGCCTTTGGCCGCCATCACATCCTGGAGATGTCCTGCTCAAGGCCAGGAATGAATGGCTCCTTGATGACCAAATTCAGCAGATGTCCTTGAGGGGGTTAGATGTTTATTTGACTGAGCGGGGCGAGGAAGCAGGTTGCACAGGACGGAGGCACAGGCAGGCACTGGTGGGGAGGAGAGGAGACAGGGAAGATTTCAGACCTCAGGGTCTTGATCCCCTTGAAGGGAGAGGCCAGGCTGCCCCATCTGAGTGACAAGTTTGGGACCTTGGATAAGGTGTGGGGAGGGTGGGGAGAGTTAGGAAGGATTAGGAGGGGGGGGTCACACTGTTGGAGATTGGAACTGGTCTCTGGGTTCCATGTGGCCAAGGAAAGGGGCCGGTGCAGGGAAGGACCAGAGGGTTAAATGCGCGGCAGGACTGCGTGTCGGGACAGCTGCCGGGGACAAGTAGTGCAGATGCACAGATGTGGTGCTTTGTCAGCTTTGCCCACAAGACTCCTGTCACCAGGGACTTTTTTTTTTTAAGATTTAATTTTTTTATTTGACGGGGGGCGGGGGAATGTGCACAAGCAGGGGGAGCTGCCGGCAGAGGGGGAGGGAGAAGAAGGCTCCCTACAGAGCAGGGAGCTCTATGCGGGGCTGGATCCCAGGACCTGAGCAGAAGGCAGAGTAAACGACTCAGCCACCCAGGCGCTGCCACCTGGGGCTTTCTGAGTGCAGTGGGGAGGAGCAGGAATGGAGCTCCCATTTTCCAAAGCACCTGTCTACCCTCTTTCGTTTCCTGCTCAAATTCACCTTGAGCAGACAGTCCAATTAGATTCCCTCCGCACCTCTGTTCTATCGCCTTGGATGGGTGGATGCGTGCACACAGCTCTGACAAGAAGACTTCCAGT